TAACTCGTAAATTTTCCCTACATTATCGACCAATCGGCAATGTGGAAAAGATACTGAAATTATCGATGACCCGTTTAACCTCATATACAAGCAGTAATTTTAAAATTCATTTTTCTTGTCCACCTGAACCTGGGGTTTCTGAAATTTTGCAAGAGGTCCCTAAATGGATTAAATGATATGTGAAAAGAGTTTCATAAAATTGGCTGCAATTTTTGAACATGTTGCTCCTCACGTGAACATCGTTAAAAAAAAAATTACCCGCGCGGTACCGTGGACTCACGCAACGAAGAGTTTAAATAAAGTGCTGATTTTCTCGACAAATCTGAAAATATAATCATTCTCTCTGGTTCCTATTCTAAAAAGAATACAATACTAAAGCTCACTATATTTGTGACTTATTCAAACATGAAAACTACAGTAGACTCTCGTTATAGTTGCATGCCTGGGGCTGTAGGGGAAGCCGATTCGGCGAATGCGACTATACTTCCCGACCACCCACCATGTGCACAGGTTTTCGAAAATTTATTGTCACATGTTACATTTACGAGTTCCTGGAAAGGCGAAACAATATCGCGTCTAAGAAAACATCAATGTGTTTACATTCGGGAGTCGAATGTGGAAGGGAGTGGGGGAAGGCTTCGCGCTGGCGAAAAAAAGATCAAGGGGAAATGCGCCTATAACGAGAGTCTACTGTATCTTAAAATGAGAGCAGCACTTTAATTAAATGATTAATAAAGATAATCCCAACGAATCATTCTTTATTATTAAGAGAAATGAGTGAAGGTATAGATTTCGCCGTGGTTTCACCTTCCCTATGTGAGTACCTTGTATACGATCCGTCTGTGTTTACGCGACGACTCCAATATTTTCAAATTAGCAGACCAATGATTCCTCCCTCCTCTGACACTCCGTCTCACCCTTTCATTCACTCCCGCCATCCTCTTTCCGTATGTCAAACAAAGAGCTCTTCGCCCCAGTCATATTTTAATCAATACGTTAACTCCCCATTGTCCCCTCCCCCCATCTCTTTCCTTTAAACTCTCACCCTCGCATCCTCACGTGTGGGTTCAGCTATGTCCTCGCATAAAAGAAAAAACATTAATATTAAACGCTGTGTTCTTTCACACATGAAAACAGCCTCAAAGGCTCATCAATTTGATTTTTATTGACAGAACAGAAAAAAATTTCATTAAACGTTGAAAATCAAAAGATGTCGAATTATTAAAATCTGAAAAAAATTAAATTGAGGAATTTGGTTTACATCGATAAGTTGCGGTGATTGGGAGGGTGGAAATGCTTAAAGCAGTGGAAAATTGGTAGAATGGCAAAAGAGACTTCTCGACCTTCTTAAAACTCTTGGCGTGGAATTAATCGGTGAGATCTTTGTTATTTCTCTTTTTTCTGTTTTATTTTCTGAGGTGAATAATTAACGCTTCTGGTGGTATTAAAATAAAACGTAAAAAAGAAAATTCGCGGGAATCAATTGTCGAACCTCTCCGGCGATATTTCACGGTCGAGGAGAGAGGGCGGCTTTTGAACTTCCTCTGAGAAAGGGAAGGGAGAAATGGTGGAAGACGCACAGGGGCGGTTTATCGTTTTCTTACGCCGACTTCTTAAAAACTACGCTTCCTCTTTTAACCCCAAACGTGAACTCATCCAACACCGCATTTTACCTTTCGCTGGCTTTATTTAGCCCATCAAATATTTATTCTTTAGATTCTATCCTCCCACCACAGCCTCTCAAAACATGGAATAAGGTAAAAGGAAATAAATAAAGCGGAGAGAAAGAGAATTTCCAGGAGCATATTTTTGTTTTAATAAATTATGAAATTATTATTGGGTGGCTCTCTCCAGTCTGCGGGGACATAATATTCAAAAATGTCTCTTTTTCATTCTCTTTGATATCTTTGGAAGAAATTGGTGGAGCATTTTCGCGGGAAATGTATCAATTAATTAAGAGAGACTTAGAAAGTATTTTTTTGGGACCTCGAAGTCTGAGGGAGGGGTGATTAGTGGCAATAGCTGTTACAAAATTCCTGGGGTTCATATGCACTATTAAAAATTTTTGTCTAAACGTTCTGGTGCACTTTTTGCAAATTTTTATCAAATTTTTATTTCATTGAAATTTTAAGGAATTTCGTGATTGGAAATCCGGAAGTTCATGGAAAAATCAATGAGAACTGTGAATTTCAATTTAATTATTCCCTAAAAATTCGTAGCCATTGGGAAAATTTCGATAAATATATTTTTGAATTTTCAATTAATTGAAATTCATCATAATTCAGGCCTGAATATTCATGATTTCATTGAGAATTTTAGTATTTCTAGGTATTTTCATCTCGAAGCTGTTCAAAATTTGGAATTTCATTGAATTTTCAGGGATATTTAAAACTTCATGATTTAGTAGCTGAGACGAGTTTCTTCAAAAAATGTTCTATGACGTTTTCCCCGAAAATCACTGATAATCGGAACATTTTCATATCCAACCAGTTCACTATTGAGTTGATGACCTTGGTCCATTCGTGGCAGTCCTCACGGGAAATGGGAAGAAAAAAATACTAAGTTCAATAAATCTTTGACGGATTGAATTTTCATAAAAAATTAATTCATAAAATTTCCATAAAATTCATTCGTATGAGAGCTTCATTCTCTTTGGGAGTAATTATTACTTGAATTAATTACACCGCTTTTCTTCCTACATTAAACCAGTTATGCACTTTTGAAATGTGACTGAAATAATTCTGGAATGATTTCATTTTATGATCTTCTAATGGTGACTCTGAATTGAAAAAAAATATGAGGGATAATTTTTCAATATTTTTAGAACAATATTAGGGGGCTTCACCCCCTGCTCGCTTCGCTCGCTCCGTCCATCTAATTGGGGATGTTTAAGTTGCATATCCTTAACAGTTGTTGGATAACTGATATCAGTGGTAGTCATTCTCACCAGACTCAGTTCACCTGAGAAATTAAAAAAAAAAGCAAAACATCACGCTCCGAACAGTTTAGGATCAACATTTCCCAACCATCGTACTCACAGGAAAGGCTCCAACTAAGGCCTTTCATAGTGAGGTACAACCCCTCTAAATTTCTCATTATTCCTCATTTTTCACTCCCATTTGATCCCTATATAACCCTCATTTGACCCTAATAAACCCCATATGACCCCCATTTGAACCACACATGACTGTCATATGACCACCATATGACCCTCATTTTCCTTGTGACCCTAATCTGATCCTTTTGATTCTTATTTTGACTCTTGTGACCCTTATTTTCACTGTTGTGGTCCTTAGTTTCGAATCCTTAATTTTGAAGTCTTAATTTCAAGTACCAAATTTTCATCAGCAGTAGGCGATTTGGATCGACTACTGGTGATGAAAACCGCCAAGCCCCATATGACCTACATATGACCGCCATAACCCTTAATCTGATCCTCATGACCCTTATTTTGATCCTTAAGACGCTTCATTTGACCCCTGTGATCATTAATCCGAGCCTTGTGACTCTTATTCTGATTCTCGTGATCCATATTCTGACTCTCGTGACCCGTATTCTGACCTTATTTTGACCCGCGTGACCCTTATTTTGACCTTTTTGACCCTTAATTGTGGAGTCTTAACGTCGAGTACCAAATTTTTATCACCAGAAGTCGATTTGTATTTTCTATAATATAGAGAGAAAGAAATTGAAATAATTAATGCTCGGCAATTGTAAAAAATTAGCGAACCATTTCTTTCTAAACTAGAAATGAAATATCACTCCCAGGAATATTCATATCAATATTATCCTTCATCCCTCATAAGAATTCCAAGCATCGTTTAACCCATAAAAACATTGCAGTCGTTGCATAAATCCCCTGTGTACAGTACCTCTAGACCCAGTCCAAACCAAACCCAAGAGGATATAACGTCGTATCCCTCACGCAAAGAACAACAAAAAAAATACAACACTGAGAAACACTGACTGTATTCATCCGTGTTCGAAAGTAACTCCGTGCCAAAAAGGGACCGCAGAATTTCTGTCAGTTGGCTTTTCTCTGTGACAGTGGTCCACGATGGAGGAGCAAACTTTGTTACATTTTTGGTCAAGTCCACATCCACGAAATATACCTGGACATACGGTTTAAGTGGATCAAAGGGATAGAATATACGTTAACTCGTATGTGAATATACATGAAAAAATCCCCCTCACGCCACCCCTCAGGGAGAATATAACCGTTCTGCGTTAGTGGCAAGCCCGAAGCGTCGTATGTCCATGATTTTCTTTGAGAAAATCTGCACTTTAATTATGAAACTTTCCCAGATAAAAATCACATTTTTTTTCTCTTTCACAGGAATAATTGCATTGCTTTTACCATATGTATGATTATTCCCGCGTTCGTTAATTCAAGATATGAAAAAAATATGTTCTTCCCTCCATGAAAATGAGAATAAAAGAGAGAAAGAGAGAAAGAGCGAATGAGATTTCTCAGTTTTTTCTAGAGTGTTGACTACTGAGACGTACCTCAAGCACTTTTACTGAAGAATTTTTCCATTTTTTTTAAAAACATTCCAAACACGGGCTTGAATTTACAGAAACGGAAATAATTAGAACTTCGAAGTGAAAACGATATACGTATATTTGTGCTGGTTGAGAACCAGGCTCAAATGCCATTGTACAAACCGTTGAGTATGAGCCACATGGATTTCTTACGAAACGAATTATGTATTGCACTCCACCGAAAATCCAACAAGCGAAACACACAGGGCTTGGGCATTTCGCTATAGCTGCTTGGCTGTGCGTATACACTCTCACTTGGGCTGCTGCTGGGGTATTTTACTGGGAAAATCCACCAGTGAAACAAAGGCGCCGACGGCGAATTAAGTACGATATTTTAACGCTCGACTTAATTGCATTAATTTAAAAGCAAAGAGGAATGGTGGTTGGGTGTTCTCGTTTTCAAAAAGGTATTGAGGGGAGGGAGAGAGGGATAAAAAAGGTGAATGTAGTAACACATGTCAGTTGCTCTAGTTTTGCATTTTACGGCGAATGAATTTTTCACGTTTTTTCGATGAACATATAAGGTGTTTAACTATTGAATTATATTGCTCATCATCATTTTCTAACACTTTTTCGTAACATTTGGCTGAATTTTGATCATGTATTTTGTCGTTAACAATAACTGAACTGTAACGAGAGAGAACACACCTTCAATTTTTGGTTTATCTTTCCTACTTGACAAAAGATCATTAATAAACAATAAGTTTTCTCTAGAATCCTATTCAAATAGCTTCTCGATCAACAAGATATGAAAAATCTACTCCTAATATTTTTCATCTTTTTTCAGTACTTTCAATATTTATCAAAAATATTTTATCCCATTGACTCATTTTCAATCGACCCAACTTTCTTATGATAATGTTTTTGATGATTGTCAAGTGACAACGACCCCTTAAAGTACTTATCACAAATCTCGCAATGATAATTGAAGCGATTCTCATGCCCCTTGATATGTTTGTTCAGCAAATCCTTTCTACTGAACGTACGCTCGCAGTAAATGCATGGAAATTTGTCAGGATTCGTATGGAAGGTGTTGTGACGAGTCAAGTTGTCCTGTCTCGAGTATTTTTTGGTGCAAATGTCACAGGTATACTTGGTCCTCTCTGAGTGTGATCTCTGGTGATAACGCAAGTAACGTTTTTGCGTAAATGTCTTGCTGCACGCACAGCAAGCAATCTTATTCACTTCGTTAACTACTGGCTTTTGGTGCAACACGAGACTGCTCTCATCGGGAAATTGCTTCTTGCAGAATGGACAGGAGTAGGTGACAGCATTTTTGGTACCTTTCAAATTTTCCACGAACAGTGGATCCGTGAGCATTTTGTACAGAAATGTGTCCTTGAATTCTTTGGTTTCTTTTGATGGTGCTGGTGGGGGATAATTGGGTGGACTCGGGGCGCGAGTCTTTGTCGATAGATCAATGGGCTCGCTCAGTGATAATGTAGCGGCGGAGTAATCCAATGGTAAACACACCTCGGTGTCTTCCCAACACTCGTCACAATGTGGCGATGGTCCTGTTATCGTCAAATCAAGGACATCCCAAATTCCGATACATTCTTTCTGTTGAATGAGGGAGGAAATCCATTTAGTCATCATAAGTATATAAAGAATTTCATTATTTATTATTTAAAAAAACATCATGATAAAAATGGTGGAAAGAACAATTCAGATGAACTCTTTATTTTATTTTCTTACTGCAATTTCGATTATAAATTTGCTCTGAATTTTTTGAAAATTATGTTTTTCAGATTTAAACGATTTTCGGATGTCTTGAAAAATATTTTTATAAGATCAATAAGAATTTTTCGCAATGAAAAAAATTTTTTTTTTATTTAAAAAAAACTGCCGAATTGAAAAATTTTTCTCGAATCAATTGAAAAATAATTTTAAAAGTGCTGAGAAAGCTTTTGATAAACAGAGAAAATTGTTGTTTATCATCAACTTTTTTTGTTCTGTTTCGACTTTTATTTTTATTTTCTTCTCGTTTAAAATGTCAAAAAACTTTTCAGATAATCATTATTGTCTTTTATCTGCTACTTATTTTCTTCAACGTTTTTTTATAATAAATTAATTGATCAATTAAGGGGAGACTACTATAAGTTTTAAAAGTCGGAGGGTACTAAAATGAGATTTCTCACACACCTAAGATCGATTATATATGTCAAAAAATGAATAATTCGCGCAAAAAAATTGATTGTTTATTATCCATTTGCCCCGCAGACGCTTAAAATGTTAAAAATACTCCAATCTCCAATTTTTGTGCTACAGAGGTTTTTTTTTTTTTTTCAAAATTGTGGAAAAAATGTGTACAATAACAATTACGAATGATTTTTTTAAAATTCGACTCCTACATAGCTAATTGCGTTTTTTAAAATAAAAAATTGCATGATTCATGTAAAAGCCCAATATGTTTCTGAAACAAATGAAAATGTATTTTAAATATTATAAGGGTTTTTTTTGCCTATTTTACACGAATGACGCAAATTCTTATATCAAACAAAACGAAATTAGCTATGGAGTGTGTAGGACTTGAATTTTAAAAAACTAATTTGTAATTGTTATTGTACACATTTTTTAAAAACGTTTGAAAAAAAAATCTTTGTAGCGCCACAATTGGAGGCTCTGGACTACTTTTAACATTTTAAGCGTTCGCCGGGCAAACGATCAATAAACAATTAATTTTTTTGCACTACTTATTCGTTTTTGCATATATATATATATATATATATATATATATATATATATATATATATATATATATATATATATATATATAT